ATAGATAGATAGATAGATAGATAGATAGATAGATAGATAGATAGATAATGATAGATAGATAGATAATGATAGACATAGATGATAGATAGATGATAGATAGACGATATAGATGATAGATATAGATGTGTCTATGACTGAATGTGTGTGGGGAGGTAACTTTGAACCCCCAGATGCCAGGCCACTGACGGTTTCAAGATCACCACTATCATTTTCCACCCTGGCTTGGCCTCAGCTTCCCTCGTCCAAGATGTTTCATGCTAAAACAATAGACCCCCTCCTTCTCAGCCCTCTCTCTCTCTCTCTCTCTCTCCCCCCCTTGCCTTCCCAGCATGCACCTGGTGAAGTGGTCTTCTCAAGGGATGCTGCGCATGTCTCCCGAGGCCATGAACGAGCTCTTCCAGCCCACTGTCAGCCAGATCATCAAGCACATTGGTGAGTCCTCCAGGTCTCCCCTTGCCTTCCCAAAGGTCCTGATGCCAGCTAGGCGAGGGGGCTGGGGGGGTCTCAGCAGAGGCAGAGGGATTTCTTCAGGTTGGCAGGGCTGGGGGTTGCAAAGGGTAGAAGACCAAGAAGGTCTCCAAGGGCCAAGGATGTCTATCGCTAGGAGGTTCAAGGGGTTTGGAAAATGGGGCACCTGAAATAATTGTGGATCTCCTGGGATCCCAAAGGTGCTTCTTCAAGAGGCAATCGGTTTTTCTTTGAAGAGATTTCACTTCTCATCCAAGAAGCTTCTTCAGTTCTGGGTTGGGGGTTGAACTGGAGAAGCTTCTTGGATGAGAAGAGAAACGTCTTCCAAGAAAAACTAGAAAGTCCAGTTGCCTCTTCAAAAAGCACCTTCGGGGCCACCATGACCTGAATGGCTGAGAATCTCCATAGACTTTCTTGGTTGTTTTTTCCTTGAAGAGGTTTCGCTTCTCGTCCAAGAAGCTTCTTCAGTTCTGGGTTAGGGTTGAACTGAAGAAGCATCTTGGATGAGAAGCGAAACCTCTTCAAAGCAAAAAAAAACAAACCAGAAAGTCCATTTGCCTCTTGAAAAAGCACCTTTGGGATGACCTGGATGATGGAGAATCTCCACAGACGGATCTCCTGGGACGGGATGCGAAGTATGTGATACCCACCATCGTTTTAGTTACAGGACGAAGTTCGTGAGGGCTTGGTCCCGTTCTCGTCATTAGACTAGACATCCCCAATTCATGCAACCCTTCTTCCTACTCAAGGGTGGAGCTCAACCCGTGAGCTAAATTATGAAGAAACTGACCCTTGGTATCTCTCTCTGCCTGTCAACTTAGTCAAATATCCAGCTTCGACTCTTGGTTAGACAATGGCAACCTTCCCGTGGTGGGATTCAAAACTTTTTACTACCAGTTCTGTGGGTGTGGCCATGTGACTGGATGGGCGTTTTTTTGCAGCCACCCCACCTGTTTTGGGGCCTTCTGGGACTCAGAGGAGCCTCCTGGGGGGTGGGGCGTTTTTGGGCTCAGGAAGGCAAAAAATGGAGAGGGAGGGAGAACCTGTGACCCTCCTTCCATTTTTTTTGCCTTCCTGGGCCTCAGGGAATCCTCCTGGGCGAAGCAGTAAGACAGTTAGGGGAATCCCGGAACAGCTGATGAACAGCTGATTGTCGGGAGAGGCAAAAAAAGAAATACCTTAAAGAGCGAGCATCAGGCGGGTGGGGTGAGCAAGCATCAGGCAGGCAGGGCAAGTGAGCCAGTGGTGACCGGGCGACCGGGCCAGGGGTGTGGCTAGCCAGAACTTACTACCAGTTCGGTGACCCGCACCAAGTCCTTGCTACCGGTTCGCTCAAACCAGTGTGAACCGGCTGAATACCACCACTGCAACCTCCTCACGTCCTCCCCTTTCCAAACTCTTCTCCTTCTGTCAGATGACCTCATGAAGAAGCCCGAAGTGAAAGACATCAAATACTTCTTCTTGGTGGGTGGATTTGCCGAGTCGGCCATTTTACAGCACGCCATCCAATCCGCCTTCAGCAGTTCCTGCCGGGTCATCATCCCTCAAGACGTAGGGTTGACCATCCTGAAAGGAGCGGTGCTCTTCGGCCTGGACCCCACCATCGTCCGGGTGAGGCGCTCGCCCTTGACCTACGGCGTTGGGGTCCTGAACAAGTTTGTGGAGGGGAAACACCCGAAGGAGAAGTTGTTGGTCAAGGAAGGGAAGAACTGGTGCACCGACATCTTTGAGAAGTTTGTCTCGGTGGATCAGTCGGTGGCCTTGGGCGAAGTGGTGCAAAGGAGCTATTGCCCAGCCCGGGTGGGTCAACGCAAGATCATCATCAACATCTACTCTTGTGCCACGGATGAGGTGGTCTACATCACCGATCCGGGGGTGAGGAAGTGTGGCACCATCAGCCTAGAATTGGAGGAACTGGATGAGCCCAGCTCGCCCAAGAAGAGCCGGCGGGAGATAAGAGCCAGCATGCAGTTTGGTGATACGGAGATCAAGGTGGCTGCCATGGACGTCTGGACCTCCAAGACCGTGCGGGCATCCATCGACTTCCTCTCCAACTGAGGTCCAGAAGTAGAGAGGACTCTGGACTGGTAGAAGATCAGAGGGGGAAGACACCATTCTTCTGCGTTGCAAGCCGCTTGGGTGATTGGTGACTCAACTTTATGGATTCAGCCCAACCGTTGGCCAGTTTTTTTGGGTGGGTGGGTGGGTGGGTGCGGGTGGGCGATTTAGGTCATGAACCTGCCAAAAAAAACAGCAAGGTGGAACTTCTAATGGCCAACAGACTGGTGGGGTGGGTAACTGTTGGGATTAATTGGGTGAAAAGTGGAGGAGATTGTTGTGCCTTGGAACTTCTAAAGCTCTGAGAACATCTTGCATTTCTCCACTCATCTTGGACTGGTGGCCTTTGGCTTCCCAGAGTTATGGGTTCTGGTGTACTAACGTTGTCTATAAAAATGGACATTTGGATGTTATGATTCCTTCTGCATTCCTCTGCTTGGAGAGATCTCGTAGCCAGAAGGGCGTCAAAAAAAAATTACCCACCATGAACAACGAGGCAAAGTCTTATGGGGAAAATCTGGTTCCACAATGTACTACAGATAGTCCTTGACTCACAGCTGTTCACTTAGTGAGCGTTCAAAGTCACAGTCCTCCTCCTCCCCTCTGCAAACCCCACTCCCTTCTAGCACTGATGATGTTACCTAGTTGGGTAATGAAACATCTACAAGGAACCAGGCTCAGAGAGCTCCAAGGACCCCAGCCGTCCTAGTCTTCCTCCACAGTTCTCCTCCTCCCCCTCCCCTCTGCTAACCTCTCCTTTCTAGCACTGATAATGTTACTTGGTTGGGTAGCGAAATGTCTGCAAGAAAACCACCAAGCTCAGAGAGCACCAAGGACCCCAGAGATGTCCCAGAAGATTCCTCCATCCCAAAGGGGAATTTGGCTCAAAGGGGTTTTAGGGTTGCCCCAAAATACAAGCAGATCAGTTTGGTGGTTTTTTTTTTGGGGGGGGGGAGGGGGAAAGAGGCAGGAAGAGGTGAGACGCCACCAGAAAACCCACAATCTGCAGACTGAACTTGGGAGGCAGAAGAGGTAGAAAAATTCTGGGTGAAGGGAGGAAACAGGCAAGGGTGTGTCTTCGTGTCAGAAGCCCAAACCACATTTCTCTCCACCCCCAACTCCCTGCCTGCCCACCAGAGATCAGAAAGAACAGAAGTACTTTGAATGTTTCAACTGAAATTTATTTTGCTTCCAGAGTTTGCTTTAAAAAACAAAACAAAAGAAACTCGAACACAGGTTTCCTCATAGGGGTAAATAAGTGTGCATGTGTTTTATACATAGGCACATAAAATCCATTGGTTTCTTCCAAGAAGCCCACCGCGTCCCTGCTGTGTATCCCATGAGTTTTCCTACAAAGAGGGGGGGCTTATATTTGGGGGGGGGAAGAGGGGAGATAGAAACAGACCCTTAACGTTTGAATGGGAGCTCTTAGGACTCCAGTTGGCTGAGGCACCTGTCTCTTGCAAGGCAGAATCCGAAGCTGTGGCTTCTCCAGGAATGGATTCGAGATGGTTGGGAAGAGGGCCCAGCGGCCCAGGGCTGCTCCTCACCCCACCCCACGAGTAAGCCGGGGAAAAGTTAGAAGCAGCTACTGGGATGGCCCTTCTTGACCGCCTGGGAGGTCTGACTTGGAAGTCCTACCGAGAGATGGCAGTCCTAAAAGGACAGAGGTCCATGAGCTTTGGAGAAGGAAGGAGAAGAGACTCCTGTAGCAAAGGTTGGGAGATGTTTCTCAACCTTGGACGCTGGAAGACGGGTGGACTTCCAAGTCCCAGAATTCCTCAGCTGAGGAATTCCTGGGACTTAGAAGTCCACCTGTCTTCTAGTGTCTTCTAGTAGCCATGATAGAGAAACCTTCCGTGAAGGTCTTCTCCAACCACGTCATCAAAATCGTGGTGGGGCATTGGTGTCCTAACGGCAGGCGTAGCACCGTCCTCTTCCACTGACCTAGGCAATGCCAGTGAATTTTGGAAAGGGGTTGGGGCTGGTTGGCGACACCATGCCCGTTGTCCTGCTGATGTTGGCCTACCGAGGAACCCAACCTCAGTTGGACTTCCACGCACAGCTCTCCAGCCTAGATGGGCAACGAGGACCTGGGCTACAGGGTTAGGGTGGGGTGGGCAAACATCCACCCATGAACATCATTTTCGCCGTTGAGGTGGTTGACATCACGATGGAAGTCCCATCATCAGGGGGTGTTGGCCAGTGAACGGGGTGTTGCAGGGGATTAAACCCCCATCCATGAAAACAAGCCACACCCCTAACTCAAAACTCACAAATTACTCAACCAATGTTGTCTTTGGGTAGCTACACAAGGATCTTGCTCTGTGCTAATGGGCCGTCTACTGATGAGTTAATCCCTTAGGGCAGGAGTCTCCAGCCTTGGCCACTTTAAGACCTGTGGACTTCCAACTCCCACAATTCTCTAGCCATCCATGGGGAATTCCCTCACCAGCCATGGGGGATTCTGGGAGTTGGAAGTCCCCAAGTCTTAAAGCGGCCAAGGTTGGAGACCCCTGCTCTAGGACAGTGTTTCTCAGTGGGGTGACTTTAAGACTCCTGGACTTCAACTCCCAGAATACCTGGCTGGGGAATTCTGGGAGCTGAAATCCAGCTCTCTTAAAAGTCTTCCAAGCTCAAGAAAACCTGCCTTAGAGAACACAAGGAATTTTGTCTTTAGGGATTCTTAGTCCAGGATGCGACTTTGGGATCCCAGCTGTGACATTTCCACGGAGAAACCAACAAATCACATATCTTCAAACACACACACACAAAAACCTCGTATGGCAACAAGGGAATAATTCCCTTGCGTTTATCTCCTAAACAGCAGCAAAAGTTTTTTGTCTTTTGAAGAAAACCTTCCTAGGCTAACTGAACTGGGAGGGAGGGAGGGAGGGAGGAGGGTCTTGGGAATAAATTGGGGTGGGCTGCATCACAAGAGGACCACAGGTGCATCCATCCTCATAGCCAAGGGAGAAATTGGAAGGAAGGGGAGGGGGTTTTGTTGGATTCAAATGAATCTTTGCAAAACTGAGAAGGCTTCGGGGTTTTTTATTTTTTATTTTCTCTTCCTGAGTGGGGTTCATTTCCAACACCGGGAGGGGGGGGAGAATAAAGAGGGGGGAGACCCCCAAACCACAGGCAACTTAGGTTGTGTGCAGTGGTCCCCAGGAACCGTCAGTGTCACAGTCACTTAAAAGCCTCTTAAAACACAGTGAAATTCGATGGGCGCTCCCACCAGCTTGCAAACCATATATTAAGCTTTCCCGCCACCTTTTCAAGCGCTAAACAGCTGTCTTTTTTTGGGGGGGCAGCAGCCAGTGCTGGCAATACAACTTCACCCCAAAAACCTCACGCAAACCTGTAATTTCCTGCTTCCTCAAACAGCTTTTTGGGGCTAAAGAGCTGGCACCTTCCAAGGAGCTAAAAAAGGAGAGGAAGGAAAAAAATAAAACATCTTTCTTGATCTCTGCGGGGGTTTTAAAAATAGCGACAACTTCTTAAAGCAGAGGTCTCCCAACTTGGCCACTTTTAAGATTTGTGGACTTCAACTCCCAGAATTCCTCAGCCAGAGGAATTCTGGGAGTTGAAGTCCACAAGTCTTAAAAGTGGCCAAGTTTGGGGACCCCTGTCTTGAAGGGCCTATCGCAAGGCGCCGTGGCCAACTCGCTGTGGGATAAGAGTTACCCTAACATCGAGTGGAATCGTTAAAAGAGAAAGGGGGGCAAAGGGAGGGCAAAATTTTTTAAAAAGGCGAATGATTAAAAATACATTTTTGAAAAATTATTTTTGAAAATTGCATTGAGTCATCCCGCCGTCAATTGTCTCGTGGCGAGGTGACCCATTTCCGCCTCCAAGCCTGCGGTTCCCCTCACAATTTTTCTTGGGCTTGTAGGAACGGCCCGGAGAGGAAGGAACGGTTCCATGAGAGTGCCAGGCACGAGCAACTCCCATTTGCACAAGCGGCAGGCGCGTGCCACCGCCGCTTGCACAAACGGAGTGGAGTAACGTGCCTGTTTGCACAGTCCTGGTTCCGAAACAGGCCGCATACGTGGGGCGGATTGGGGACGATTAAAACATCCAGCCAAAGTCAGCTGGTTTTTTTTCCTCCTCCGTTGCAAATGGTAGTTGCCAAAGGAAAAACAACCCTCCGCAGGCCACCCGACTTTGCTAAACCAGGTAGAATTTTTTTTTAAAAAAATGGCACGCTTGAGTTTGAAGAACGAAACCCGCCGTACGGCGCAACGGCCTGAGCTGCGCCATCGACGGAACGGAGGTTACGGAAATGGATCTGCGCCTGGCTGGACGCCCGCCTGAAGCACAACCTACAAGGGGGTTGAGGTTTAATGGTAGATGTAATGGCGGGGGGGGGGGGTGTAAACAGGAGAAAAAGCACAGTGCCAGCCCCACAAAGACAAGCGCCACCGGAGCAGCACAGCGCATGCGCGCTCAAACCTGGCGGACAGCGGAGGTGGCATTTAGTTTTTTTATTATTTCAAGCTTAACCGGAAAAAAAAATATATATGTATATATATCTATATACGTATATATATCTATATAGGTAGAGGAACCCCGGGAAGGCGCTGGAGTCTGTAGCAGAATGGGGGCATGTCCTGGCTAGTCAAAGCCCTGCCATTCGCTTTGCTCAGAATCGTATTCCACTTCGGCGCCGATGCATTTCACGCCTTCCAGGAGCATCGGTGTGCCGTGGTGTCGGTCTGCAAGGCAAGGGAAGAGCGCACATCAGTGGCGGGGTTCAAATTGTTCTGCCGCTGGTTCGGTGGGCATGGCTTGGGGCGTGCTTTGCTTAACGCTGGCACAAAGCTTTCCCCACACCAGCTGAGACCTGCAGCGCCAATCAGCCGAGAGGGATATGTCAACTGAAAAAAAAAAAATACTCCTTTGTTCTTTTTAGTTGCCGGCAGAAAAGGTGTTGGGGAAAGCAAGCGCATTCCTTAAATACTTCACATAATTGCTAGGCAGCCGAAGCTGTTGGCGTGCAAGATTATTATTGGAGAGCATGATTGATGACTCTTGGCTATGGATGTATCCCATTGGAGAATATACATCCAGGGGGTGGAGGGGGAAGATCAGGATCAAGGGTGAAATGAATGGTGTATCTTAGTGTCAGCTACATCCAGATAATGCCGAAATGGTCACTCCTAATAAATCAATTTAGTTTTACTCTTGAGAGATGTGGCTAGAGACTTATGATTTGAATTGGGGGTGGTTTGTCGGAGCCCTGACAGGGCCGATCCTCACCTTTCCTCTTTTTCCTCCTCTCAGCTGATCTTCGGGTTTTGTTTTGTTTTTACTACCGGTTCGGTTGAACCGGGCCAAATCGGTAGCATACCACCACTGGCGCACAGGTGAAGTGGAGGGGCAAAGAGCACCGTGTGTTTGTGTATGTGTGTCGGAGGCCAGCGCAGCAGCCCACGAGTCGGGGCAGAGACCCTTCTTCTGCTTGGCACTTCTCCTCCAAGATCTTCTACCTGAAAGCATCTCCAGGTGCACATGGGAGGATTCACTCAGCCATCATGGCTGCCCAACCACGGTCCTTAAAAGTCGTCGAGCGCTCCTCCCGCGTTCCCCTTGTTTGGCCAATCAAATAATCTTGGTAGCTCGGGGCTGAAATGAGGGTGTCCTGGGTGCTCTCTGAGCTGTTTTTTTTTTCTTTTTCTTGGAGACGTTTCATGACCCAACTAGGGAACGTCATCAGTGCTAATTAAGGAGTGGGCTTTGCTCTCAGTTTCTATTCTAGGGGCTTGCCCCATCGGTGTTGATGGGGGGTGGGGGAGGAATGGACTGTATAGGTGGTTCTTTGGCTGGGCTGTTTACAAGCGCACAGATTAACTCCAAAGATTAACATCAGACCAACAATCAAATAAACAGCACCCCAAACAAGGAACTGACGAATAAGCCAACAGTAAACAGCTCAACCAAAGAACTTCTAAGGCAGGGGTCTCAAACTCGCAGCCCACGGGCCAATTGCGGCCCGCAGGACGGTATCCTGTGGCCCCCACCTGTGATATGAAAGTATAATATTAGTGCGGCCCGCAGGGGGAACGGACCTCTGAAGGAAGTCCCGCCCGCCGTTCCTCGTCGTGGCTTCTTCTCCACCCTGAACTTTAACAAGTCCAAGTACAGGTCCAGACTTATTGAGGATCATCTTCAAGCCATAACTGAGGGTCTCAGGTGCCTCCTCTCTCAAGCCAAATGTGGCTCAGATATGTGAGAGGAAGCGTTGTCAAGTCTCTGGCAGCAAGGATTAAGCTGGAGAAGCCACGTTCTGAGGAACCGTTCATGATCTTCATTCAATGTTCCATTCATGGGTTCAGGAGAGTTCATGTATTGGAGAAATCATTAACTGTTGATGACATTTGAGGATATTTTTTTAACAACGTTTTTTGTGGAATCCCTTATGCGGCCCAGCCTCACCCAGACTCTGCCTCCAGCGGCCGCCAGGTCAATTGAGTTTGAGACCCCTGCTCTAAGGCCTTCCATGCCGACACTGACAGGGCAATGCCCACTCCCTTCCAGCCCTGATGAAGTTACCTAGTTGGGAAATGAAACATCTGTGAGAAAACCACCAAGCTCAGAGAGCAACGAAGACCTCTCATTCCCGTTTCCTTCTTTCCTTCCTTCCTTGGTACCTTTCTCTCTCTTTCTCTATCCAGATAGAGAGATAGAGATAGATAGATAGATAGATAGATAGATAGATAGATAGATAGATAGATAGATAGATAGATAGATGAGAGAGAGAGAGAAAGAGAGAGATTGAGAGAGAGACAGAGAGAGATTGAGAGAGAGACAGACAGAGATGGACAGAGAGACAGAGAGAGAGAGAAAGAGAGGTTGAGAGAGAGAGACACAGAGAGAAAGAGAGAGAAGTTGAGAGAGAGACAGAGATTGAAAGAGATGAGAGAGAGACAGAGAGAGGTTGAGAGAGAGACAGAGAGAGAAAGAGAGAGAAAGAGAGAGATTGAGAGAGAGAGAGAGAGACAGAGAGAGAAAGAGAGAGAGATTGAGAGACATAGAGAAACAGAAAAAGCGAGACCCCACCCCATTTTCCAGGTAGAGAGGTGTGTGTGTGTGTGTGTGTGTGTGTGTGTGTAAGAGAGAGAGAAAGAAAGAGAGAGAGAGAGAGAGAGAGAGAGAGAGAGAGAGAGAGAGAGAGAAAGAAAGAGAGAGAGAAAGAGAGAGAGAGAGAGAGAGAGAGAGAGAGAGAGAGAGTGTAGAAGACCTTATACTCATGATGGGGAACCTGTGGCATGCAGAGCCATTTGTGCCGGCATGCAAGCCACAGGCAAACTTACCTCACTGCGCACGCGCGCGCCTCACAGCTGATTCTCCCCTCTCCTCCTTGGGGCAGCCCCTCAAATACTGGAAGGCTGCTGTCACGTCCCCCCTAAAAGTCCTTCTTTTCTCTAGACAGGCCAAACCCAAATCCTGCTGCTGTTCTTCCTATGTTTTAGTCTCCAGGCCGTTAATCATCTTCGTTGCTCTTCTCTGAACTTTCCCCCAAGTTTCAACACCTCTTTTTTAAAGCTTGGCCTTGATGGCTTAAGATCTCACCCCCTGGCATCCTCAGCTTGGCAGATTAATTCACCCCTGTTAGGAATTGATAGTCACCTAACAGTTGGGTTGGAAATATATAAACCAAGATAAGACATTTAATACTGTCTTTTTAAGGGAATGATACAATTGTAATTGGGTGTGGTTCCTCAAACGGCCATAAGATGGAGCCAGAAACCTGGGTTGTTTAGTCCTGTTGTTGCTAGTTGGTCGATGTTCTGATGTTCGCTGTTTTTGGTTCCTGAATTTTTGACTGTTGCTGATTGTCGTTCTTCTTGGATTGCTATAAGTCTGTTACTGAACTGTTTATGATACTGGGACTTTGATATTTGGATTATCCCTGGACTGAAAAACTGACTGCTTTAACCGTGTAAGACTTGGACTGCTTGTTGGACTTTGCTTAACCGTTTACTGGAAGTAAAAACCTACATTTTACTATACGGTGTGTCTGTGTGCTGGTTGAGTGTTATTCCTCACCACTCTCACTACGTCTCCCTGTGTGCACTCATTCTCCTAATGGGGAATTACCTCAACACACACCCCCACCGCCGCCGAGATGTTTCTCATAGACCCCGCAGTTTTAATTTCCTGAGCATTGTCGCCTCTTGGCGGAAACAGGATATTAAACTAGCCCTTGAGAGATGCAGATAGGAAATGCAGAGAGGCGGGAAAGTGAAGGGGGGAGGGAGAGAGGGAGACCAGCCTGGGTGCGAGAACCGGCAGAGCCTTACCCATCACTCGGGCTTGCACCACGACTTTGATGCTGGCACTATGGTTGCTCTCGCTGCAAAGGACCATTTCTTCGTGGAGAACCCCTTCTTTATGGGCCACGTATTCGCACTTCACCCTGTAGCCTGGGAGAAAAAGAAAGCGGGAGCCCCATCAAAGGACACTCCGAGAAGAACTGGGGTGGGGGTGGGGACTTGGAGAGGCAGGAGTTGCAAAATGCCAATCCCCACACACACGCGCACACCCTCCAGTCTTCGAAAGGAGAAAGCGACGCACAAGAAGGGGGGAAAGACCAGAGGAAGGTTCCATTAAATGGATTTATTGCTAAAAGCCTCTGCACAGGAATCTTCTCAACTAACCTTAACACGTGATAAGAATTAGATGAGGGTCCACAGAATTCAAAGCGGGGGGAGGGTTGGACTTAGTTTGCTTGTGGCTTCGTAAGGATTAGAGGCTGATCTCTCTTTTGACTCCAACGCCTACATCCTGCCATCTCTTGTCCTACACATCTCCTTCCTCTCCTTCCTTCTCTCCTCTCCCTCCCTCCTTCCTATTCCTTCCCTCCCTCCTTTCCCTCTTATCCCTTCCTTCTCCTCATTCCTTCCCTCCCTCCCTTTCCCTATTCCTTCCTTTTCCTTCCTTCCCTCTTTCCTTCCTTCTCTCCTCTCCCTCCCTCCTTCCTATTCCTTCCCTCCCTCCTTTCCCTATCCCTTCCTTTCCTTTCCTTCCTTCCTTCTCCTCTCATTCCTTCCCTCCCTTTCCCTATTCCTTCTTTTTCCTCTCTTCCCTCCTTCTCTCCTCTCATTCCTTCTCTCCCTTCCTTTCCCTCCTATTCCTTTCTTTCTTCCCTCCTTCCTATTCCTTTCTTCCCTCTTTCCTTCCTTCCTTCTCATTCCTTCCCTCCTTCCCTCCCTCCCATTCCTTCCTATTCCTTCCTTCCCTCTTTCCTTCCCTCATTCATTCCATCCCTCCCTCTTTTCCCTTCTATTCCTTCTTTCCTTCCTATTCCTTCCTTCCTTCCTTCCTTCTAAAAGGATGCAAATGACCAGCTGTCTGCAAGGAGTATCAATCCTCCCGTTCCCCTCCATCCAGCCAGAGCTGAAGAAGCTTCTGGGATGAGAAGGGAAACCTCTTCAAAGAAAAACAAGAACACCCAGTTGCATCATGGAAAAAAAAGCACCTTTGGGGTAGCCAACGAGATCTTACCTTCAGATACGGGCGCGATGTCAGTCACCTTAAGATGCAGGTTCGACAGGGGCGCTGGGCAAATGTCCGTTCCCAGGACCTGCACGAAAGGCAGGACGAAGGTGATTTCGTACTTGTGCATGATCTTGAGGAAGCCAACCTGAGCAAAGGGGGGAAGAAAAGTCAGGTCCAAGGCCCAGAGGCGCCAAACGAACGCCGTTGGAAAGGCAAACGTTAAAGAGACCCTTCGAAGTCACAGCGGCACGGGAAGAAAGGGGACTTAGGACCATGTTTCACACTTACGACCGTTGCAGCATCGCCGTGGTTCACGTGATCAAAGTCCAGACTGTTCTGGCTCAACCTGGTTCCAAGAGAGCAGACACGAAACAAAGGCAGCAGCCCCCGCCTTCTAAGGTTTAATCCGCGAATTCTGTTTCTTCACAGATAAAAGGCTGCTTCCAACTAATTAGCTCTGACAAGAAAAAGCCTTGCCAAATTGTTCTTCAAGGCTGCCAAAAACCCACCGGTAAGAAATAGTCTGCAAGAGTTTTCAAATACTAACTATAATGTCCGCGAGGCTGAGTTTCAGAGCGTCTTTGCCTTCTGCAAAGAATGCTTCTTCAAACCTGGCTTTTATCTTCTTGAGGGAGGGGCCATTACCTTGCAGCCTTACTCC